AGTGGGAGTGAGGCCAAGAGGCTAGCAGGCCACCAAAGGCCTGAAACCAATGCCCTTGCCCAGCTTGTGAGATGCTGGGGACACAGCCTGCCCTTGTAGGGCATTTGGACTAGTGGCACAGTGACTTCAACAACACAGCTAAATACAGATGGCAAGGGAGGCATCTAGAATGACTCCAGGTCTCCAACTGGGGTGGGTGACTGTAGGATAGTGATACCACTCACCAAGACAGGAACTAGGGAGGGGGAGTTGGATCCCTGGTGCTAGATGGTGAGTTCCATTGAGAACATGGCAGTCAGGATAATGGAAGCTCGGGTGGAAGGCTCCAGGGGCCTGTGTGGTACGGAGGTCTTATGCTCCAGAGGGTTAATTGTTGGAATGGTGAGAGGTTAAGTTAGGGGGTTGGCAGGAGTAGTTGATGAGCTAGCCCAGGGGTCTTCTTGGCAAAGGAAGTGAGCAAGGGGTTTTTGTGCCCAAAGGGGACGGGGTGGGGAGCAGTGGTTGGGAGGTGGAATGGTGCCCAGGGAGGGGATCTTGAATGATGCTGAATGCCCAGAAGTCATCATGTCATCGATGCAGCCTTGTTAGCCTTTGGGGGGCCCTTACTCCCCAGCATCTGCATCATGACGCTGGTGACTGATCAGCAGAAGGGCCTTTGTCTGAGTGAACAGGGCAGTTCTTGGAATCGGGGGTCTCTGCTACCCTGTGGCCATCAGGCCCATGCTCAGGGCTGTTGGCGAGGCAGGCTGTGGATGCCCCTGGTGCTGCTGGAGCAGCAGTCAGCCAGTTTCCCGAGTGCCCATGACACCAGAAGCCCACGCGGGTTCTGAGTCCCAAGCAGCTCCTCCTGGTGGGTTTCTCCTCTCCATCTGACTCCCGAACACACATGAAAGTAACGAAGGCAGAGCCTTGCCCTGGTTTGTTGGACCCCCAAACATGTGTTTTCCCCGCTGGCCCACAGGGTGCCATGCTCAGGTCTGCTGGCTCCTTAGAGAAGGGATGCCATGATTAGTTCTGGGGAAAAGAGGCACCAAGGTTCCAGGGAGAGAGGCACCAATGAAGCCTGGGCAAGCTCTAAACTGGTTCTGGAATGATATGGAAGCTTAGGTTATAGGGAGAGGGACATGTTCAGACAGGGATCCCCAAAGCCACCTTGTCTCAGCTCTGTTGCACCAAGTGCCACCAGGAACCCCAGCCTCCCTCCCTCAGCTCCTCCCAGTTCACCGGCCCCTCCATGCCTTGATATTCCACATGGACAGCCAGGTTGTTAGTGAGAGCCGTACTTCAGAGCATGCTCCCCTGTTCTTCGGCAGCCTCCGGCAGGCAGTGCCCCATTGTGCAGATGAAGAAAGTAAGGGCCTAGGACAGGGGTGGGCAAACTTTTTGACTCGAGGGCCACAATGGGTTCTTAAACTGGACCGGAGGGCCGGAACAAAAGCATGGATGGAGTGTTTGTGTGAACTAATATAAATTCAAAGTAAACATCATTACATAAAAGGGTACGGTCTTTTTTTTTTTTTAGTTTTATTCATTTCAAACGGGCCGGATCCGGCCCGCGGGCCGTAGTTTGCCCACAGCTGGCCTAGGAGGTGAGCAGCATCCTTAGCAATGCATGTGAGGCTTCGGACTTGAGTGATGTTAAACCCCCAAAGCCAGCGGACTCCCTTAGACGGGTGAACAGGACTTATCTCAATCCCTGAGAGTTCACAGAACACAACAGATACCTTTTTTTTGTGCATTTGAAGAGCAGCTGTTCACAAGACTAAATGTTTTGAAAATCAGCAGTTTCTTAAGCAGGTTACCATGGACCAGGGCCGGGCAAGGCTGTGCTTGGATAGAATGCACCTACTTTCATGAATGGTTTGACCACAGGCCTAGCCCTGCCCTGCTCTGAGAAAGCCTTGTATTGTCGATCTGTGCTCTCCCTGTCAGACCTCATTCAGAGCTGTTTTGCAGGCAAATGGGTGAAATTTCTTCCAGTTGACATTTGCCTGCCATCCTGTCTCCTCATATTGTTCCTGATAAATCCCTGAGGACGGAGGCCTCTGCAGTCCCAGAGGTGGTGCTGGGGTGGAGGGGCTGGGTTTCGACATGGCCCAGTTTCTCCTGAGCTGGGAGCCCACTCAGTGTTTGGTGAGATCTGCCCTCAGAATGCACAGTGGTCCTTGTCCAGGGACCTGCAACCAAATGAGGAGGGGACAGAGAGAGAGGGACGAGTTATGAAGAAACTGCTCTGCCTATTTACGACCCAAAACGTGAGCCATGCCTCTGCTGTAGGTGGAGAGGGCAAGGCTCTCGGGGTCAGGGCTCTGCTTCTAGGATGACTCAGCTGCCCCACCTGGCTCAGGCCACTTGGACCCCACCTGACCTCCTCCAGGACACCTGTCCACATAGACCTGTGAGCCTTGGACAGGCTTGCAGCTCAGAACAGCTGTCCCTACTGAGCCTGATGCTTCCCCAACCAAGGAGGCCTGCTGGGCCTGCCAGCAACCAGGCTGTAGCCAGGAACAGGCCCTCCTGGGAGTCACATGATGGTGGGGTGCTGCTTCAAGGCAGTACAAAGGAGGGTGCAATAAAACCTGTGTCCTCAGGCGCTCCTGCTTCAGGGGCAGCGCCCAGTGAGAAACAGCAGAGTAGGGCCGGTGTGAAGGACAACAGAGGTGCCAGCAGAGCGCCCACGGAAAGACATGGCCTCCCAGGCCGCACCCTGCAGGGGCAGGTCTGAACTGGGAAAGGAGAGGCCCGGGCCTCCGGAGAATGGAGAACCAGAGATTAAAACAAGGAGGGCAAGGCAGCGGGATGGAGGGCAGAAGCAAAGGTCTGACTTCATGTCATTCCTAAGAGAGAACATTGGAACAGTTGGGACTGAAGCAGCAAGCAGTCAGAGAACTGACCCAAGGCAGAATGCCCATTAGGAGCCTGGCTGTCCTCAAGGACACAAGTCCATTGTTTTTATTTTTAATATGTTTTTATTGATTTCAGAGAGAGGAAGGGAAAGATACAGAATCATCAATGACGAGAGAGAATCATTGATCGGCTGCCTCCTGTAAGCCCCCTACTTGGGATTGAGCCCAAAACCAGGGCACGTGCCCTGACTCGGAATTGAACCATGAACTCCTGGGCCACACCAGCTGGGCCAAAAGTCCATATTTAAAGTCCTGCAATTAGGCACATCCATTTCAAAAAGTTTTCACATACAAGAATGGAGAGACATCCTATAAGCATTGGAGGAATCGAGTGGTCACCCCACTGTACCCTAGTTGTTGGCTGTCCCTGTGACTCTGCCCAGTGAGCGGATCCCTGATCTGAGGAGCCTGTCTGTCTCCATGTGCCGAGAAGAAACCCCATGTGCCTTCCTTCAATAAGAAATCTCTAAGACCTCGTTCGGGCTGTGTGGACATGAACAGAACCGTGTCCTCAAGGGCGAGAATGGAACCGCGTGTTGCTGGGGCAGAGCCTGGCCTCACAGCCTGCGGGCTGTCCTGCTCCCTCCTTCCTGGAAATGGGAAGGTCACTTATCCCGCATACCCTTTACCTTCCGAGTCGCAAACCTTTGAGTTGGCATGGCATGGCTTCTGTAGTTTATAAATCGTCATTTTTTTACGAGCTCTAGGCCTGAGTCTTATTAGTCTTAGCTAAACACAGTCACTTCACTCCCCTCGTTAGTGATGGGTTAGGGGTGGGCTTTGACACAGTGGAGAAGGAGAAAGCTGATGTGTGTGAACAACAGACCTGAGATGACAGCCACCGTGCTGCTTTGGTGCCGGGGAAGGAGGGGCGATCTGGCTGGGGTGGCCTCATTGATGGTACAGCAGCACCGGAAGTGCCACCTCCAGATTCTTAGTGTGACCGTAAATCCTGGTGTCTTACTTCCTGAGCAGCTGAGTATTCTGTTCCTTTATGTTCGTAACTGTCTGAGTTATCTCAAAATAATAATGGTGCAGTAGACGAGTGGGTAAAAAGCTGTGGTACATTTACACAAGGGGATACTACTTAGCCATAAAAAAAAGAAGGAAATCTTACCTTTTGTGACAGCATGGAGGGACCTGGAGAGTATTATGCTAAGTGAAATAAGCCAGTCAGAGAGAGACAAGTACGATGTGATCTCACTTATATGTGGAATCTAATGAACAAAATAAAGAAACAAAATAGAAACAGACTCATAGATACAAAGAACAGACTAATGGATGTTAGAGGGCAGGGGGGGTTTGGGGAGGTGGGTGAAACAGGTGAAGGGATTAAGCAAAAACAAACAAACAAACAAACAAAAAACAACTTCATAGACACAGACAACAGTGAGGTGATTACCAGAGGGAAAGACGGGTGGGTGGAGGTAGGAGAGGGTAAAGGGCAGATAAATGGTGATGGAAAGAGACTTGCTTTTGGGTGGTGAACACACATTATACAGATGATGTATTATATAGACTTGTACACCCGAAACTGTATAAATTTATTAACCAATGTTACCCCTAGAGATTCAATAAAAATTTTTGTTTCCTATTTTAAAAAAGAAAAAATTAAGTTTTTGTAGGTTCTAAACCTCCTTTGAAAAATGAAGAAAGAAAAAAATAATAAAGTATCCCAAAATACTGTAGTGGTTATCTCTAGGAAGTGAGATTCTCAACAGTTTTCTTTTTTAGACAGTTCCATAGTATTCTAGTTTTCTCCCCTGTGCATGCATTAGTTTTTAAATCAGAAAAACAACTTTGTGTGAGAAAGTAGCTATAATGTGTATAATTACATGGTCATAATCGGGCCAGAATTGCCCTGGGAGGCGGTGAGAGTGTCAGCACCACAGTCCTCTAGCTGGCTGCTCCTCTCCCCCAGGGCAAGAGCCCACTTCCCACAGCCCTAGACTCCCTGTGGCCCCCTGGTTCTCTCTGAGGAGTTACTGGAAGCGGAGGTGCAGAACCTGGAAGCCATGGTGGTGAGCAAGTGAGCCCTCTCCCTCCCCTGTGCGCTGGGACGAGCCCCAGGCCTGCCTGCTTTCTGTCCCACAGGCCCCGCAGGCTGGAGCCCGTCTGCTCAGAGCTGCAGGCTCAGATCCTTCACTGCTACCGCGACCACCTGCATGAGGTGCTCCTGTGCTCGGACCTGGTCAAAGCTTACCAGCACTGCGTGAGTGCCGCCCACAAGGTAAAGCCTGGGGCTTCTGGGCTCTGGGGGCGTGGGGGCGGGCACTGCAGTGCTGACAGCTGTCTGCATCTCTGTCTGCTGCATCAGGCATTCCAACCTCAAGGTCTCTGCCTTTCACACAGGTAGGGACTCATAGGCCTTAGATGCCCTCAGGCGCCTCCTGGTTCAGATGTCCTGCCCGGCTGTTCCCACAGGGCTCTTGGAAGTCTAGACTAGGAAAAGGGCCCTGTGGGCATTGGGCCCCACTAGGCCAAGTCCAGGGGCAGCACTGGGCAAAGTCAGGGGGGCCAGTTAAGAGCATGTGTATGCCACCCATTTCTTACCTTTGAGCACTTGGGGTTGGGAGCACGGAGGAGGGCCCGTGGCATAGGGTGGAGATCATGGAAAAGGTAGGTAAGCCCTGTGGAAGGAGAAGAGCCTTGGGGTTCTGGAGGTGGAGACGCAGGTGTGGCCTGCCTCAGAGGAGGCGGGGACTGAGAGTACCCCACTGCCCACCCCACTCCTGTGGTGGTCTGAAGGGGCATGCAGGACCCAGCCTTTGTGAGAGGGAAGGGGTAACAGTGGGTCCAGGTCTCAGGGACCTGTGGCTGTCCTAGACATTTGAGGTGGGCAGCACCTCTCCCGAGACATGGTCCTAGGGCCTTGTCCTCCTTTTCTGATTCTCCCAACCAGTTCCCTTCCCCTCCTTGCACCTCCCCAGTTCCTGTCCCTCTTCTAGACCATTCCATCCCCTTCCCAAGTGCACTGCTCCAGACTGGACCCGGCCCCTTCACACCCTGACATAGCTCCCCCACACACGTACCTAGGAACACTTCGGTTCGGAATCACCAGAGGGCTGGTGTGTTTGTTAAAAGAGCTGTGGGGTGGGGCCTTTTTCCTGTGGAAAAGCCTCTTTTGCCCAAGTAGGAGACAAGCTGCTGTGAGTTCTGGTGGTAGAAAGCCTAAGATCAGAAGTCAAGGGTTTCTCTGTGCTCAACAGCCTTACCTCACTAGAGCCCTTCTCACTTTTCTATCAGCCTGTTCCAGGCTCTACCCAGCTCATACCTGCCCAGTGTAGCTTTGAGACAAAGGGAACCCATCAGCAGGTCCGCACGGGATCAGGTGGGGGCAACGCCTGGATAGGTGGTTGTTTCCTCTCCCCTGTGGAGCATGGAAAGCTGTTTGCTCATCTTCAAGTTTAGCAGAAAAGACAGCCAACCATTGCTGCAGCCCTGTTGAGGGCAGGAGCGTGGAGCTGGGCGGCTTGCTAGACCACACTGGGGCCATGGAACCGAAGGAAGGCTCTCCCGTGCCCTGTGCATCTGCCGAGGTCTTTGTGAAAGTCTGCACAGAGTGCCTTTCCCCTGGCAGGCCCTTCTAAGCCCCTGCTCACCACATAACGAAGGTTATTTGTACCAAGGGAAAGACCTGGGACTGAGGCAGCTCCCCTGGCTTCCCAGCAGAGCCCTATCTCCGTCCTCCCTCTCTCATCCAAACCCTCCCCGCCTTCCCCCTACACCAAGGCCAAGGTATGATCACAAAGGAAGGCAGATTGCATTTAACCAGCGTGCTCTCTGTAGCTCCAGCCTGCCCGAGAGAGACTGGGGCACTGCCAGGCCTGGCTCCCTCTTTCCCACACCTGTGCCTCCCCTCCCCCCAGAAAAGCATGTTCAGCCTGACTCCAGAAGGGCCTCAGCACCAGACCCTCTGATTGTGCCCTGCGTGGGAAAGGCAGCCGGTGCCAGAGAAACTCAAACTGCCCCCTGCCAGCCTCCACCGCAGAGGAGCCTGGCAGAGCTGGCGATGGAGTTCAAGGCTCTAATAGTGATTTGCTTCTAGAAGCGGCCAGGTGGCAGTGTCTCTGGCAGAGGGAGTAGGAACAGGACAGAGGCCCACCTTGCTGGGAGTTGTGCAGGAGGCACTTCTCAGAGCATGGGCAAGCTCCTGCCTGTGCAGCACCTGCTGAGCCTGGTGGCGGCAGCGCGTGTGTGGATGTGGACAGCAGGTGAAAGCCTGAGTCCAGGACATGCTCTCAGTGGTTTCATGTAGGCAGTTCTGAGAGAACAGAGGGGAGACCTGGTGGGGCTGAGGAGAACTGAGCTGAGGCCCGTCTATCTTCAGGGCAGGAGGTCAGGTGAGTGGAGGGTCCATGTTAGCTGGTCCTGGCAGCACGTGCTGAGTGAGAACAGTGCGTGGAGGTGAAGAGGCCAGTTCCAGGCTGCAGGACCAGCTGGGCAGGACTGGTTCTGTTAAACGCCCTCTTGGAGCCTAGGCCTGGGGTGCGCAGGGTTCCTGGGAGAAGAGGGCCATGCCTGAACTCTGACCTGTTTTCCTTTGTAGGGGTGAGAAGCAGCCATCATTCCTGGCCCTGGCAGTGACTTGGAGCCCTGAAGAAGAGACCAATTATGGGACCACAGCCTCCAGACCCCCCGACCACAGCCATCTTCTGCCAGGTGCCCATGATGCTTAAGAAATGAAGGATGTGCTACTGTCCGAAAACAAATAAAGCAGCTGTCTGTGTTTTCAGTCACTTCTACAGCTGGCAGACAGTCATTGATGTCTCCTCGGTGCAGCCCTGTTCTGGGCCCAGCAATGTAGGCTGACAAGACAGGCTGCACACCTCGAGGAGCACCCAGCTTAGCAGGGGAGGCAGGTGGGGCCCATAATTCTGCTGTGGCCACAGGGACAGGTAGGAGATTATATGAGGGAAATGGTTCTTTCTAGGGACAGAGCCAGGACAACAGGCCAGCTTCCGGACAGGCTCTGCCTGAGCTCCATTTCTGAAGCTGGTGGATGACTGCAGGGCAAGCCAGAGGAGGCTTAGAGTGGGATCCCAGATGCGGGCTCAGGGGAGCTCAGACTGCGCGCAGCTGGGTGTTTGCAGAGAGCAAAGTGGGGGCGGGGGGTGCAGGGGGTGGATGCCAGGCCGAACTGCTGGGGGGTCTCTAGCAGGGAGCAGGACTGTTCAGTCCCTCCCTTTGAGTGATGCCACCCACACTCCCAGAGGAGGGTTGGCCCAAGTGGGGCAGGCCAACTGAAGGTATGAGAAGCCAGAGAGAGGCTGGTGGGGTGAGCCAGGGGAGCTAAAATGACAGGACTCTGGTTTTGATCAAGGATGATTTCCAAATTTCTGGCTTGGGTGCTGTTGATTCTACAGACTGAAATGAGGGACACAGGGACTGAAGGGGGCAGATGACAGCTGGGTTTGAGATGTGCTGTACTCAAGTTGATGTCCGAACACTGGCCTGCTAGTCCTTGACCTTTGGCAGGGCCCTAGGCTGAGGCGCCTTGAGCACCCAGGGCTGCACTCTGTGAGGCAGAAAGAGGAATTTGGGGCGGGGCTTCTGCTCTGCTGACCACTCTGCTGGTGACCTTGGATTTCCTGCTAAAGTTTGTTTGGAGAGCCCCCGGCCATCTGGAGCTAAGAGACTGCAATCTTAACTTAGGCTTTGCAGCCCAAACATCTCTGCTCACCCTAGATGCTCATACACAAAGCTCCAGTGGGCAGTTGAGGCTTGGCAGTGTCCTGTTATCTGAGCAAGTCGCATGAAGCAGTTTCATTCAGCCAGGCTACATAGTGGCGGCCCCCTCTAGAAGTTCTGGGTTCATTTACCAAACCACACAAAGGTGAGTGGTCAGGGCCTGAGCCCCTCCCAGCCGACTCCTGGCAGCCCAGGGAGGGGCTGGCCCTCTGCAAGGTCAGCCTGCTGGAGTCATAGGTCACCTGGCTGGTTATCTTAAGTGACATCAGAGCAGCCATTCAGCCAAAAACTGCTGAGGCCCTTCTGAGACTCCCTTTGAAGCCTCTGGTGTCCAACTTCCAAATCTCACAGGAATAATTCCAGACTCCATCCTCCTACCCAGGAGTCGTTTGGGGGCAGCTGTGTGTACACCTGGGTCTGTGTGTACCTGTCCATCTGTGTGTGTGTGTGTGTGTATGCCTTTATGTGTGTGCACATGTGTATGTGTACACACTGGGCTATGTGCACAGTCCACACGCACCTGTATATCTATGCATATGTGTTTAGGTGCCTTTGTATGTGTGCACAGGCAGCCAGCCATGTTCACCACCTGCAAATGCTCCCAGCCTCTCTCTACTTGGATCTTAGCCCATTTCCTCTAGAGCAGTGGTTCTCAACCTTCTGGCCCTTTAAATATAGTTCCTCATGTTGTGACCCAACCATAAAATTATTTTCATTGCTACTTCATAACTGTAATGTGGCTACTGTTATGAATTGTAATGTAAATATCTGATATGCAGGATGGTCTTAGGCGACCCCTGTGAAGGAGTCGTTTGACCGCCAAAGGGGTTGCGGCCCACAGGTTGAGAACCGCTGCTCTAGAGCTAGAACTGAGCATCCCTTGCCTGATGTCCACCTCTCCCCTACTGGGGACTTGAGGTATGTGTGTCCAGAGCCATCTGTATCATTGTGTTGGAGTGTCTGTGTGTGTGTGGGGGGGGGGGGGGGGGGTGCATGTGCTCAGAGTGCAGGCTTTGTGTGCATATGTGTATGTACTTATACATGACTCGCTTATGTGTGGACCTATGTCTCCAGTCCCTCCACAGGGCCAAACCTCACAGAAAGTCAGGCCTGAGAGAGCATTGTGTGGGGGAGGGGTGTGTTCAGCAGGGTGTGGACCTGGAGGCAGACATTCACATTCCTGGGCTCAGGTCCCAGCTGCATGACTACTGAAAGGGAGTGTTAATCCCATCCCGCCCGGTTGTGGGGGATTAAATATGATGATGCTGGCTGTGGCATATGGGATCCAACCAGGACACTAGAAAACACTGTAATTATTTAAACATAGGAAATTCAATGCAGGGAGCTGATCACAAAGGAGATGGAGGAGCTGAAAACCCAAATGGGATGGTGTTATAACCCAGGAATTAGTAACAGTGGGAAGATTCTGTCACCTCTGATCTAGAGGGACAAAGGGAAGAGGCAGGATGCCCAGTAGAAGCTGGCACCCCAGGAGTTGGGGCCACCAAGGGGACACAGCTGCTGCAAGAGGTGCTGCCTATGGGCTCTCCCCTCCTCCCACCCTCCAGCCTCCATTCATTCATGCCTCTCCTTGGCTGAACCTAGCCGAGATTGGAGGGCAAGGCAGCCCCGGAGCTGCCCCTTGCATGGAGGAGTGGCGCAAGGCCCAGGACCACATGCAGATCAGCAGGAAGCACATCACCATGACCTTTGGGGTGTACTGAGCGGGCATGTGTGCCTGTGCTTGGGTGGGTGTGAGTAGCGGGTGCCAGTGGCAGCATGTGCACACACCTGTGTGCATTTTCAGCTTGTTTTGGCACATGGTGGCCAACTATCAATCAGCCCCCGCAGACACTTATCCACGTGCCAGGCACTCTCCCACACCTGTCTCCCACGGGCCTGCAGAATAGTGACGCAGTTACTGCCACACTTTACAGATCTCAGTGCTGGTGCTGCACCTCCTTTTGGAAGCAGGGTCCCTGGTTATGTGCTGGGCCAGGCTCCCAGGACCCAGCTGACGGGCTCCCCTCGCTGGGCTCCCCAAATGGGGAGTGTGGCGCCTGGCAGAAGAAATGGCCAGAGTTCATTCCTTCCAATGTCATTATTGAGCTGAGGAGGCCCAGCAGTGCCAGGGCAGGATCTGAGCCCTGGGGCAGGCCCTCCTTTGAGGCACCGATTCCTTCCCATTGGGAGGAAGGGGCCCTGCCTCACACGCACGCTGCCATCTCACCTACCCATGACCGCTGCTGTCCCTCCCTAAGGCGGGCACAGCCTCGGACATTTCGAGTCTTTGCAGGTGGCTGGAATGGGGGGTGAGAGCAGGGCGTGGAGGGAATGTCCGATGTGCACTGGGCACAGGAGGGAGCAGTGTCACTGCAAATACGGAGAGGGCCCTGCCCTGTGGCGCTGCCAGAGGAGGTGACTCGTGGCCTCTTAGGAGGACACATTTGGTTAAATGCAGCAAAAGCCTTTTGAAGTGCACAAACTCACACAAAAACAACAACACCCCTCCCCCCAATCTATCTGTAGTTGCTTACAAAAGACATCACCTCAATGCTGAGGGCATGGGTTGGTTGAGAATAGAAAAATTGAAAAAGATACACCTGCAAACTCTGAGGAAGCTGGAATGGTCATGTTCCTATCAGACAAGGTGGACATCAAGACAAGGAGTGCTGTGAGCAACAGAGGGCCCAAACAGTAACAGGGACAGCTGGCAGGGAGAGTTAAAAACCAACTGTGTGTGCCCCTGGTGCAAGAGTGAAATACTCGGAGCAAGACTGACAGGGCAGAAAGGAGCTTTGAGAACATGCACCCCTCCGCCTAGCCAAGGCCAGCCGCTGGCTCGTAGGAAATCAGTGCACAGGTCCTGTGTCCTGGGCTGTTGGCCCTGCCCCTGCTCGGCCTCTGCCGTGCCCGCCGGGCATCATGAGTTGGGGTGTCGGAGCAGCGCAGTTGCTGAGCCTCAGCCTGTTTCCTCATCTCTACAAGGGAGACAGTCACAGGTGCCATCTCCTAGGGCTTTGTTCGGCAAACTGCAGCTCGGTAAACCATGGCTCGCGAGTCACATGCGGCTCTTTGGCCCCTTGAGTGTGGCTCTTCCACAAAATACCGGCTCTTCCACAAAATACCGACTTCTGCGCATGGGCCACAAAGTTTCAATCGCACTGTACGTGTGCACCCGCACGTGGTATTTTGTGGAAGAGCCACACTCAAGGGGCCAAAGAGCCACATGTGGCTCGCGAGCCGCAGTTTGCCAACCACAGTCCTAGGGAGTGGTGAGGACAGGTGTCCCTGGTTCAGTGCTCATTAGGGTGATGGCAGGAGGCCTGCCACTCATATCCCCTTCAGGGCTGGGCTAGACAACCCTTGACCCTGAGTTCTCTCTCTCTGGAAAGTGCCTTTGATCAGGAGCCACTTCACTAACACCACACTCCAGGGGCAGGGGCTACATTCGATTATTGCCAGGGTGTCCAGGCCAGAAAGCTGAGCAGGGCCTCAGGGAGACTGCTTGGCAGCTCAGCTTGTCCCCTTGCTCTCTGCTCCCTCCCCTTACAAGTGAGTGTTGACTTCAAGGGCACCCCTTAATACATGTCCTGCAGGCTCATCTCTGCCTCAGACTTGGCTTCTCTGTTACTGTTACTATGTCCTAGTGACTGTGAAGACCAGGGCAACACCTGATCCACGCTCACTGGGCTTCTAGTGTAGCAGGAGAGCCGACATTGGAGCTCAGTTGTGAGCAGGCCCCTACGGAGAGGGCCTGGGAACTCTGGCCCAGGGCGCCCAGGCTGTGGGGTCAGGGAGGGCTTCTCTAAGTTGAGGTTTATTCTGGGATCTGAGACTGAATCAGAGTTGGCCAGGTAAAGTGACTGCTTTATTTATCACAGTGTTTATTACAAGGGCAAAGTACTAGGAACAGCCTATATGTCCAACAATAGGGGATACATTAAACAAAATGTGGTATATCCATAAGATAGCTCTGCAGCCACTAACAACAGTAACATGGAGTTAGTTATTAACATGGAACTCCATACACTCTATTTTAAGAAAATAAGTA